AGCAATTTTACGTGTACTTAAGCTTAAGGCCGGATCATTTATAAACTCGTGCAAAATGGTTTGTCTCGTTTCTAACTCGGTTGCCATTTTTAACTCAACTAGAAATCAAATTCAAATGAAATCTCTTCTACGTCCAACTAAGGTCATGGTCAGCTTATGGTATTTGAATTTCAAAATATTGAAATCATTTTGGGTAAGTTATAAGCTTCCCAAAGTGTCGCAGTTTTGGAGTGTTCACCCTTTAATTGAATACTCAACCACAACAATGTAAGATTGGAAGCATGAGTAAGCGGCCATCGTGTGGCAGACCCAACAACTTAACATCTATATCATTAACGCTGAATATTAATTCTTCTTCTGATGGTTTTATGTCAACTATACTAATTCCCAAAGAAATTGAATCCAAAGGTTCATTGAAAAAGCTTACAACATTAAAAAATTGTTTCCCCTTGACTAAGCCTCCGTTTTCAGGTGTGAACTGGCGAATTTCAATTGGAACATACGGTTTTATAATGCAGATATTATTCGGTGGTTTTGTTGTAAAACGCAGTTTTTGTAAAAGTACTCATACTTTCCATTTTTCGTAAGTTTCAAGCTATTCGAATGATCTTCAGCCTCATCTTCTTCTTCTTCTTATTTGGCACTGTAACCGCCTGCGCGATTTTGGCCGAATTCAGCAAAGCACGCCAGTCGTTTCTCTTCTGTGCCAACTGACGCCAATTGGAAACGTCAAGTGAAGCCAAGTCCTTCTCCACCTGATCTTTCCATCGCAGTGGGGGCCGCCCTCTTCCTCTGCTACCACCAGTGGGTTCCGAGTTGAATACTTTCAGAGCTAGAGCGTCGGTGTCCATTCGAACGATATGGCCAAGCCAGCAGAGCCGCTGTATTTTAATTCGCTGCATTATGTCCATATCGTTGTAAAGCTCATACAGCTCATCGTTCCATCGTCTGCGATACTCGCCGTCGCCAACGTGTAAAGGCCCGTAAATCTTCCGAAAAATCTTTTTCTCGATGTTGTCATTGTCCATGCTTCTGCGCCATATACCAGCACGGGTATGATGAGTGACTTATAGAGCGTGGTTTTCGTACGTCGAGAGTGGACTTTACTCCAGAACTGCCTACTCAGTCCAAAGTAGTATTTGTTGGCAAGAGTGATTTTACGTTGGATTTCCATGCTGACATTATTATCGGTGTTAATGCTGGTTCCCGAAATTGTAACTGTCAACAGTGACGTGGGTTCCAAGGCGCGAATGTGTTGACTGTTTGTTTGATGACAGGAGATACTTCGTCTTGTCCTCGTTTACCACCAGACCCGTTCGCTTTGCTTCCTTATCCAACTTGGAAAAGGCAGAACAGACTTCGCGGTTTTTGATATCGATGATATCTATGTCATCGGCATAAGCCAGCAATTGCACGCTCTTGTAGTAAATTGTTCCTGAGCGGTTCAGGTCTGCAGCTGTTTTTATCGTCTGAAACCCCGTTCAGTGGCGAACGGCTCGGAGAGGTCTTTCCCAATTCTGACGGAGCTGGTGGTATTGCTCAACGTCTTTTTTCACAGCCGTATGAGTTTTGAGGGGATGCCAAATTCAGACATAGCGGCGTATAGGCAAGTCCTTTTAGTGCTGTCAAAAGCGGCTTTAAAGTCGACAAATAGGCGGTGAGTGCCTATCCTTTTCTCGCGGATTTTTTCCAAGATTTGGCGTATTGTGAATACTGGTCTATGGTGGATTTGCCAGGTCTAAGGCCACACTGATAAGGCCCAATTAGTTTATTAACGGTGGGCTTCAGTCTTTCACACAATACGCTCGATAAGACCTTGTAACCTATGCTTAGAAGTTGGCGGGAATGGCGCCACCTTTCTTGTGGATTGGGCAGAGCACACTTAAATTGCAGTCGTCGGGCATGCGTTCATCTGACCATATTCTGACCAAGAGTTGATGCATGCGCCTTATCAACTCCTCGCCACCGTACTTGAATAGCTCAGCTGGCAGGCTGTCAGCTTCAGCAGCTTGGTTTTTTTTTCAACCGCGTTATTGCTATTCGTACCTCGTCATAATCAGGCGGTGGAACGTCGACTGCGTCACCATCGAAGCGGGCTCGGGTTCTTCTTCTCCACAACTTTCCGTGCTGCTAACATTCAGTAGGGCGGAGAAGTGTTCCTTCCATAATTTAAGTACGCTCTGGACATCAGGTACTAGGTCACCATTATTGTTCTTACAGGAGTACGCCCCGGTCTTTAAACCTTCCGTAAGTCGCCTAACTCTCTGGTAAAATTTTCGGGCATTCTTCCTGTCGGCCAGCATTTCAAGTTCTTCGCACTCACGTATTTCGGCCTCTCTCTTCTTATTGCGGCAAATACGTCTCGCTTACCTCTTCAGATCCCTATAGCGGTCCCACATAGCGAGCGTTGCGCCCGATCGCAGCGTGGCCCTGTAGGCGGCATCTTTTTTCTCTGCAGCTTCCTTCATGGTACCAGTTTTTCTTTCGGGCTCGCTGAAATCCGACTACTTCTTCAGCGGCGCTTAATGAGTGGGAAATATGATTCCACTGCTCGCATATGTCGGTTTGTTGAAGAGTGCTCTCTGACAGCAGGTTTGAGAGTCGAGTAGCTAAAGCACTGTTTGTCTGTTGTGATTGCAGCTTTTCGGCGTTAAGCTTTCCTTGCATATTTGGGCGTACATTTTATGCTGCTCAGAGGCGGGTGCATATCTTGGCTCCAACAAGATAGTGGTCCAAGTCGATGTTTGGGCCTCGGAGTGTGCGTACGTCTAAAACACTGGAAGTGTGCCTTCCGTCTATCACAACATGATCGATTTGGTTTCTCGTTTTTCGATCCGGAGACAGCCACGTAGCTTGATGGATCTTTTTATGCTTGAACCTAGTACTGCATACTACCATGTTTCGGGCCCCGGCGAAGACTAATCAGCCTCGATCCGTTGTCGGACGTTTCGTCGTGGAGGCTGAATTTTCCGACGATGGTTCCAAAGATCCCTTCCTTTCCCACCCTGGCATTGAAGTCGCCAAGCAGCGCTTGTATGTGCGCTCCAAGCGCTCATAGAAGAGATCCTTGGATGCCTTATCCTTCTCTTCCGTTGGGGCATGGGCGCAGATGAGCGAGATGTTGAAGAATCTCGCTTTGATGCGGATTGTGGCTAGACGCTCGTCCACCGGGGTGAACGACAGTACTCGGCGACGGAGTCTCTCTCCCACCACAAATCCAACTCCGAATTTGCGCTCCTTTACATGGCAGCTGTAGTAGACGTCGCAAGGCCCCAGACATTGCTTGCCTTGCCCAGTCCAACGCATTTCTTGGATAGCGGTGATGTCAGCTTTTGTCCTTACGAGGACATCAACCCGCCGAGCAGAGGCACCTTCCCCATTAAGGATCCGGACATTCCGGGTGCATGCCCCTAAATCGTAGGCCTTTAAACGTTTGCCGTGCTCGTCATCATAAGGGGTACCTTGCTTCTTCACTGGAAGTGGTTTTTATGTGGCGGGTCTCACACCCAGCGCACAACCCATTGCTTGGACGGGGGTGGTTTCGCAACCAAATACACGTTTATATAGCGAGCCGCTTGCTCCAAGCAGACACCCGCTTGCAGCCGCACCTACTGGTGAACAGACGCTGCAGACTTAAGTGCGCCCTTAAACCGAATAAGTCGGAGTGGCCCCACCGAAGCTCCCTCTCTTTCTGCCGTGACCCAAGGCTCCGCTCGGATCGGTTACCGCATCTTGCACATCGTTTGCTCACGTTGCCGAGAGTGCGCGAACGAGGACGCAAGAGTCGTGATTAAGTATAGCCATGCAACTGTAACTGCATACCCAGCGCAACGACCATACCCCATTGCATCCTCATTGCTTTCATTTAAAATTCTGCTGTAAAATTTTAGTGGGCTTTTTCACATAATTTTTCAAAACTATTTTCAAACGTATTACGTGTAGTAGGTGATGTACATTATGTGTTACACTCGTGTCTCCGAAAACCACAGGAAAATTTTGTACAAATAATGTTAACAAATTTTTCGCTACCTCAGTGTTCGAAATGTAGCTCTTGGGGCAAAACAATAGCCGGAAAGCAAATGCAATAGGAGGTACTCATAATAGGCATCATCTGAAACTGTATTTTTTAATACAGATAGACCTGTTTATAGCAGGAATTAACGGAACTCTGTGGCTTTCCAATTGTATATTTCTTCCAATCCTCTTGGCTTTAGGGCAAATTCTGGCGTAATGTACAATTTAAGGGTTTTTAAGTTGTTAGAAATATGACTCTTGTTCTCTTTGGAAACTTTTATATTTATTTTATCCTGCATAATGCGAATCAAAAATTTGCGCATAATACCCAAGTCTATCAGATGCATACTGTCAGTAGATACTTGGCTTATCATTTTAATGCCCAGAGTTTCTAGTAGTGTTTTTCGGTTTCTATATTTAGGTAAGTGGTGGCTTTTATATATTCTGTTTGCGAAATCCTCATCAGAAATTAGTTCACCACTTTCTATCCCGTAAACTAATATGTTGTCCACTTTTCTACCTTTCTGTGTGCATTTTGTGCAACCAAACGCCGAGGTGTGACCTGGTATGCCGCAAATAAAAGCTTTAGCAGGCGCATCACATACGATAGATTTCAACTATTATAATATTACCCAATACATCCACACCATTTTCCATTAAAATTTCCATTTCGGCTACAAAGGCAGAACTTTCAACACTGTCGGGCTTCGTAGGCCCAAGTAAATTCGTACAGGTAAAATAGGAGTATTTTCCAAATTAACAATCCTAAGCAAAATTGGCCAAATCTGTGTGAGGCGGTCGACTCACAACGCTAATAGTTTCTGAAGATGCCTTCAGACTGAAGGCGAAATATCGACCAAAATAAAACTAAAAAGTAAATAAAACAGAAAAACATTTAATGTTTTATTTAACATACGCCCTATAGCTCAAAAATAAATTAATAAATTAATAAATTAACTAAACGGCCAATAAGCAACACAATCATATATATTTATATATTTTTAATAACTTTTACTCCTACGAACTTAGCACATTTCCTATGGACTTAATGTCAGCCAAATCGACAATATCCTCGGGGTCTTTACGTATAAAAGTGCTGTTGCGTTTCGGCTTCCTTTTATCAGCTTTATTATGCTTGCCATTATCCGCGTCCATATCTTCTGGCAAATCAGAATCGTAATCTGCCAATATGTCATCAATGCTGCAAGCATCCATTAAAAATAAATAAGGTGTTTTAAAGGGAACTTTTAACTTACGTTGTGCTCTTCACAATTTTAATTAGCTCTTCAGATGTGAATTTATGGTCTGAAATGAAAGAAATTTGCATTAATTAATTGTAAATACATGAACTCGATAAATTTATAATTTTTTTTTTGCCATTTCACAATTCGAATTACCAAGAAATAAAAACTTACCGCAATGCGATACATAAATAACAAGTAAGAAAGTCTAAGTTCGGGCGGAGCCGAACATTAAATACCCGGCGCAAGTATTAAATATATGTTTTTTCACCTTTCCGAAACCTTCCGCTGGATGGTAAGCCGGGGTGTATCAATTTTGAGTAAATTAGCGTCCTTCAATTTCGAAATATTGAAGTTTCAAGCATTTCTGAAATTTACCGTTATATGAGAAGCGGCCGTTATTTTAGTCCGATTTCAATAATTTTCAACGTTTTGCTTATATGTGGCAAGCACAATAACCACACTGAGTTTGGTACAAATTGGTAGAACGGTTACCGATATACTAAAATGTGATCATAAGTGGGCGGTGCCACGCCCATTTTCCAAAATTTTACCATAAACGTATTTCTTGGTAAAGAATTGTTGCAAGCATCAATTTTGAATAAATTAGCTCCAATATTTACTGATTTACCGAAGATTTTGTATTTCTCTAAATTACCGTTATATGGGATGTGGGCGTGGTTATTGTCCGATTTTAAAAAGTTTCGGCGATTTTTTATGCTGTACCAAGGCAACAACTGTGCCAAGTTTGGAAGAAATTGGTGCAGCGGTTACCAAGATATACACATGTAACCATAAGTGGGCGTGGCTACGCCCATTTTCCAAAAATTTATAATATTCTTATTTTTCGACTAAAAATTATTGTAAATATCAATTTTGAGTGAATAATCTCCAGTAGTTACTAAAATATCGCAGTTTTCGTATTTCTGAAAATTACCGTTATATGGGAAGTAGGCGTGGTTATTGAGCGATTTTAAAAATTTTCGGCCATTTGGTATGTTGTGCGAAGGCCAACAACTGTGCCAAGTTTGGAAGAAATTGGTGCAGCGGTTACCAAGATATACACATGTAACCATAAGTGGGCGTGGCTACGCCCATTTTCTAAAAATTTATAATATTCTTATTTTTCGTCTAAAACTTATTATAAATATCAATTTTGAGTGAATTATCTTCATTAGTTACTAAAATATCGCAGTTTTCGTATTTATGGAAATTACCGTTATATGGGAAGTGGGCGTGGTTACAGTCCGATTTCTCCCAACCTACCTTGGATTAAGGGAAACCTACATACCAAATTTCGTTGAGATATCTCAATTTTTGCTCGAGTTATCGTGTACACGGACGGACGAGACAGACATGGCTTAATCGATTTCTTTTTTCATCCTGATCATTTATGTATACATTTTTCTTTATCTATCTCGATTCGTTTTGGCTGTTACAAACAACCGTTCTGTGAACAAAATTAATATACCCTTGTGCACAAGTGCGCTCGGGTATAAAAACCAATAGGGCTGCATTTTCTTGGTAAACAACATGTGATCACAAGGGCTGAGAGCAATCTGATCCGCAATATTATTTTGCGAAAAATAAGAGTTGAAAAAAGTTTTTACACATGATTATTACATTATCTAATTAGTGCAAGTTATTGTGTTTATTTTTAGTCGAATATAATTGTATTATCTCAGATTTTTTTTCAATGTTTTCTAATATTCGTTCTTTTCGCATGCATAAGCAACCATGTGCTCAATTTCTTGTGGGGGAAACAGCTACGACAACAAAAACCTTTTCTATTGGTATACTGTGGTCTACACTGTGCATGCATCAAGCTATCAACGAAAAAATTTATTGATAAATAAATTTTCAAAAGAAAATGCGTAATAACTTCTTTTTTATGAAACATGATTAGGAAAGAATGTCAATGAGAAACATGATTAGAAAGCAGCGGCGTAGCCAGGATTTGGCGAAGGGGGGAGGATTAAAAAAAATTGCATCGTTAACTTAAAGTTGTGATACACAATGGCTAGAGGCGTCGCCTGTGCGCATTCTTTCATATATGTATATATGTGCCATTTTTACCGTTATATATTTTTTGTGTACTCGGTTATTCTATGGGGAATTCATGCTTTATTTAAATTTGAAAAATTAAATTACTACACCATTTTAATTAATTAGTGTGTAGTCCAGTTTTGTTTTGTAGAAGTTTCGTTAGTATACACTTCAGTTTTTACACATTGAGTATATCTGCATATTCATATATTTACGCGTATCTATTTACATTTATTTATGTACAAGTCTACAAAATCTTATTACTTATAAAGCGATTTTTAATCTTCGTTGCTTAACACACATTTTTATACCCGAGCGCACTTGTGCACAAGGGTATTATAACTTTGTTCACATAACGGTTGTTTGTAACAGGCAGAACTAATCGAGATAGATTTAGACAAATGTAAACATAAATGATCAGAATGAAAAGAGAAATCGATTAAGCGGTGACTTTCTGTCCGTCCGTCCGTCCGTCCGTCTGTGCACACGATAACACGAGTAAAAATTGAGAAGTCTTAACGAAACTTTGTACGAGCACTTCTTTCGGGCGTAGGACGGATGGTATTGAAAATTGGCAAAATCGGACAATAACCACGCCCACCTCCCATATAACGGTAATTTTCAGAAATACGAAAACTGCGATATTTTAGTAAGTACTGAAGATTATTCACTCAAAGTTGATATTTACAATAATTTTTAGACGAGAAATAAGAATATTATAAATTTTTAGAAGTTATATCTTGGTAACCGCTGCACCAATTTTTTCCAAACTTGGCACACGGTTAGTCTTGCTACAGCATACAGAATGGCCGAAAATTTTTAAAATCGGGCAATAACCACGCCCACATCCCATATAACGGTTATTTGGAGAAATACGAAATCTTCGATAAATCAGTAAATATTAAAGCTAATTTATTCAAAATTTGTTGCTTGCAACGACTCTTTACCAAGAAATACTTTTATGATCACATATATGTATCTCGGTAACCGTTCTACCAATTTGTAGCAAACTCGGAATGGTTATTGTGCTTGCCACATAAAAGCAAAACGTTGAAAATTAGTGAAATCGGACTGAAATTACGGCCGCTTTTCATATAATGGTAAATTTCAGAATTCTTGAAACTTCAATATTTCGAAATTTAAGGACGCTAATTTACTCAAAATTGATACACCCTGGCTTATCAAGTAGCTTTCGGAAAGGTGAAAGTCATATATTTAATACTTGCGCCGGGTATTTAATGTTCGGCTCCGCCCGAACTTAGACTCTCTTACTTGTTTCAATTACTTCTTGTGTTGTAATCGGCACATCATTATGTACCGCTAACATCGTTAAACCATTCAGCCGGAACGGCTGTATAAAAAGAAGGGACAAATAATATAGCATATTCAACAATTGAGTAGTCCACTTGCAAAGTGCGCTATGGAAATTTTTTCTCGATTTTTAGTTTTTGGTGGGTTTCATGTCCACTAACAGCAGAGTGCAAAATTTTTCTATATTCTCAAAAAAATAGCATGAAATGTTATCTACTCTTGCAAAAGTCGCTACAATACTTATTTATACACTTTCAAAGGTCTCCTCTTCGTATGAATTTAGAAAACTGCAAGAAAACGTGGTAGTTTCGGTGCCTAGTGGAAGAGGTCGCAAAAAAGAAGCTAACCAACCTTCCTAGAGGAGAGAACGCGAAAAGCTAAAAAAAAGCTAGCTATGTAAAAGTTACTGTTTCAAAACTTGCAATATTAAATTTTTAAATACAAAATTGCAAATCTACCATACCGCAATTTTATTTTTCTAATGGCTCTTATTTATCCAAATTTTCAGGAAACAAAAAAAGATACAGTTCGGATGTTACTTGTTGTCGTAGAGGTTTTTGTTTTTTTTTTAAATTTATGGCTTACTTTTATAAAATCACATAACGCTGTTTGCAAATGGACTACTCATATATTCATTAAAAGATAATTTGTCATCCGTCTGAAAAAAAAAGAATTAAATCAGAAGGATAAAATAGTATTGTGTTATTAATTCAAAAGTAAATAATTGTAGTTCAATGACGAAGGGGGGGATCTATCCCCCCAAATCCCCCTCCTGTCTACGCCACTGTTAGAAATAAATCATATCGTCACTAGACACGAATAAAGCTCGAAACACATTGGAAACGGAGTGGCTACGGACCACAGCTGTCAAATTATTTTAACATGTACTCTTATGTAGGTAATTATTTTGGCGACGACACGGCAACACTGCGACTAGCCAAAAATTTAGCTGTGGCCTACGGTTGGCAGACGTACTCATTTTATCAGTACAGTACTAATATTTTAACTCTCGTACTGATTTTATTTATTTCTTCAATCAGTACGCAAATGTGCTGATTTTTTAAAATTTGTACTGAATTTTCAATTCTGATCATAAAAATTTGTTCGGCAATTTTTCGCCATGTATTTTGTTTGTGTAATATTATTTTACTCAAACGAAATACATTTGGATTTTTTTAAGGTTTTTACATAACTTGGGAACTTCCTTAAACAGTATTATGAAAAGTAAGAACATAATTTAATTATAGTTGAAATTTCAGATAATTTTTGATATGCTCAAGAAATACAATAAAAAAGAGCAACGGTTTTATGGGTATATCGCCGAGTCGTCACGTACCAGTTGCGATAGTATTATGGAGTATAATTTATTTAAAAAGAGGGCTAACATTTTTGTCCAATGTTTTTAGTTATCTCGAAAATAACTTTCGGTTAATAACAACAACTTTGAATAATTGAATGGCTTTGTAGTGTAGTAACTTTGTTTTTTTCAATACAACACTCAAACGAACGAACTCAGAGGACTTTAAGTATAAAGTTTGCTTTCTAGCGCAAAGAGAGAAACTGATTTCGAATTAAAATTCTTGGAAAGTTAACTCCAAATTAAAGGTGATTTTAAAATGAAATGTAAATATTTCCTTCTCTCTTTAAGCACTGAAATTGGAAATGATCTCGTTATTGCTATTCAACAAGTACTTTTTAAGCAAACAAGTAATTTTTAAGCGAACAGCAAAACCGACTTCAATTCTCATACAAATTTTAGGAGTACCGCTATTTCTTAAAGATCAAATGATCCACATTTCCGACGAAAAAAGAATTATCGAAATCGGTTAATGTGATCCAAAGTCGTGCGGTAACACACATAAAAAAATATTCGGA